CAAAAATTACCCTCAGACTACAAGCCTGGAAAATTATTTGAAATTGCAAATGAGCAGTCAAATTCAAAAGTGATGTCACGCAATCAGACATCTGGAATTTCAAACAAGAGAAATACTAGACATAATAGTGACAAGCCTTCCATAGGGCAAGGACAGGAAACGGCCAGTATCCAGGGACGTAATAGCACCAAAAGAAGAGCAAATGCCAATAATGCGCTAGCAAATGTTGCGGCAACAAATAATACATTCAAACGTCGCAAGCGCACTACAAAAAATTAATTAACTCTTCATTGTTTAAACACTCCTAATATCTCTCCAACGTTGATATCAACTGGAAGGGGGTGATATCGTATTTACATAGATCACATATCTCTTAATTCTCTGTTTATTCATTCTCAGCTAATAGACAACGTCAGACATTTACAGTCGTCACTCCTCGTATGTATATTCAGGTTGTACTCTCAGACTTGTAATAAAATAGTAATTTTCAGCTGTTGACTCTTCACTGTTTTACAATTACATAAATACAAATATCATACAGAGCCTATCGGAACACAATTACCAACATCCTTCATCAGCTCTTACCTGCTTTGTTTTTCTGCATGATTAAAATCGTCATATCCTTTAGAAGCTTCATAGAACTTTCAAATTCTGCTTTAACACAGAAAGACTAACGTAATCTGTTTCGATCATTCCTTTGAACTGAATATCATTTTGTTTTCCTTGAGGCTTGAGTGCTTTACTTTTTAAATCTACTACTTGGCTCCAGAGATTAAGCTTACTTTCTTTGAAGTTTTTATTTTTCAGCACATGGTAATATACGCAGGTATAAACCCTTTTGTAGTGGAAAGCAATTAAATGACTTGAAGTTGGCTTCTTCACAAATTTTTGCTATCGTATAAAATGCCCGCAAATGTTTGCTCGGGTTTACCTTGACGTCATAATGTATTGAATCCTTCTTAAATGCATAGTCTTGAGAGTAGCAACTGAGTATTGCTAGTATACGTGCTATACTGATTTCCTCAAGAAATCCTGCAGATGATTCTTCTGGTATAGTTTTAGGAACGGTATTTATTTTGATTTTTGTGTAAATATCAATCACGTTAATTTTAATGCCATCACGTATATCTTGCTCTGGAAAATTTTGAGCCTTCATCTGATCTCTTACAGCAGCCATTTTTTATCCTTCTTCTTTCAAAATTAAATTCAGGAACATTCTCAAACGATTAACAAAGCGTAATTTGACAGTATTTATATATGTAGCGTGAATTCTCGTCTCTTCATATATCGCTATTTGCTGTGCATTTGCAAGTGCTATTGGTGAGTATGATGCGAAACGGTAGTATTCTTCTTTGTATTTGTTAATTTGTTGGCATTATTACTTCGCATTTTCTGAAGTAGTCGCGGCTCTTTTGTTTGCCAGTCCACTAACTATAAAAAAACTTTTTATTTTTTTATTTTATAATAAAGGTAAAAAAAAAAGAGGGAGTTTAAGGAGGATAGACAAAGCTTGGCAAGAACCAAACTACCCCCAGCTAGCACCGGTACTGTTTTCGATTTTATGATATATAATACTACATATTAGTTTCTTACAAGGGTAAAGAATATAACATACCTTGGGCTAGCTGGGGAATAGCTGGTCTTACTTTTTGGTCCAAAGAAGAAAAGAAAAGAAAAAGAAGCCAAGATCAGACTATTTAAACAAAGTCTCCAACAACTTTTTCAGTTACGTGTTATTTATCAATGTTGACCACATTTATTTTATATATTTCTCAAAAAGACAGAATTTATTGCCTTTTTAATAATAAAGAAAAGATTGATAACTAAAGTGTAATTGCTATTATTGATTTTAAATTTTAAATTATATTCGAATAATTCCTAAAAATATTATGTATGTATAAATATGCTCCAAACTTAATCCTTGCGCTTGTAGAATCTTCTCCATTTATCATCAATCTTTTCAATATAGTAAACACCAGAGTCAATATTGTCAAGGTTTCCAACAGGAGTATAGTCACAGACGTTATGGGTCTTTTCACGAATAGCCATAGCTTCAGCAAATTCTTCAGGTTTAGAATGAGTACGAGCAGCTAAACGATCACGAAGGTTGAGGTTGCTCTTGATACTTTCTGTTGATGAGTTCACACGGAAGGAAACCATGGAAGCAGCTAAACCAGAACCATAAGAGTAGAGCAAGATGCGCTTACCCTGAAGTATGTCTGAGTCAACTTCAGAGATAAGAGAAGCTAAACCAGCCCAGACAGCAGCCGTGTACATGTTGCCAATCTGCTTAGGAACAAAGGCACATGGACCAACTTTTTGAGTATAACCTGACTTGGTGAATGTCATACAGGCCTTTTCCAAATCTCTATTTTCAAGAGATTCAGCATAAGTCAAACTTTGGAAAGGTTGCAGGATTGCATATTTTTCGTTTTCAGTATCAAGAAGGAAGTCATTGTATGCCTATTAAAAAAAAAATCGTCAGTTTTTTCCATCCTGTGCTTACTTAACGGAGGTTTAACTTACTGCACGAGCAAATGATTTGTTGACTAACTTTGCATAGGGAGAGTGACAGACGACATAGTCGATATCATCCATGCTTGGCTTTTCCTTGTTTTCCAACTTACTCAAACGAGACATGTAACGGCGATAACAGGTATCAAAAGCGCGAAGATAGCAGACATTTGAGAACTTGCCATCCACAACAGGATATTCGGAATGCATATCGGGCTTATAAAAATCGTAGGCGTGCTCCATATGTGTTGCACGAAGACCGCGTTCGAGGACGATAGGGGCATCCTTGCCGATCAACATAGCAACGACACCAGCACCCGAAGTAGGACGAGCAGCACCAGATGCATAGAGAGCCAAATCACCAGCAACGACAATAGCATATCGACCATCCCAAGAACTTGATTCAATCCAGTTGACTGCATTAGAAAAAGCAGAGAAACCACCATAACAAGCATTGGTAGTGTCAATGCCTTCAATTTCGGTATTGCCGTGTTCAGAAAAGAGGGTCATCAAAACAGTCTTGACTGCCTTGGATTTGTCAATGATTGTTTCTGTACCAACTTCGAGTCTACCAATATCAGTGTAAGCAATATTGTACTTTTCCATCAAGTTTTGGACAGCTAGTAAAATCAAAGATTAGTGACAACAAGACGCTTGTTGTCTTTTTCAGTTACCAGTTAAGCAAATAGACTGAACGTCTTCACGGTCATCAATAAAGGCCATTTTTTCTTGACCAAGGCCAATAGTATATTTTCCTGCGCTTACACCATCAAAGACTTCCATTTCTGATTGAATGACACACTATGATAACATCTTAATTCCTCATCTCTTCCTCTCCTATTGTCATTTCACAACTTACTCTCTTGGGAAAGTACATCTCCATAGCCAAGATACCGACATTTTGAGGATAATTAGTAGCAGTCATTTTACACAGATACACAGGCGCACAGGTACACACAGAGAAGATAAAGAAGGGAAAAAAATGAAATAAATGCGCAATGAAGCACAGACTTGATTTTATAGCTCAAAAAAAATTTTAGGGAGCAGCTTTTTTTTTTTATTTGATAAAGGGTGATACAATCTGTCTTTGCCTCCGATAAAAAAGGTATAAGTTTTTATAAATGTTGATGGTTATTACATGCTGTAAGGTTATATATATAAATATATATGTGCATATATGTATATATAAATGTTGGATGTGTATATATAAATCAATTATGTGGATGTTAGTTTAATTACAATGCTAATAGAAGAAAAAGGGTTAACGAAAAGGAAGGATATAGGAATGATCTTACCAGTCATGATCTGTTCCCTCTGATTGTCTTGCTTCGTTCAAGTCATCTGCAGAGATTACACAAAATTCATCCTTGATAGCAGGATCACGATAAATAAAGGTATCCTCAGTTGGATCATAACCAATTAAGAGGATAAAATGACCTAGTAAAATATATAGCTTTAATTATTGCCCTATTCTCTCTCTTCTTGTATGTTACCTAAATAGTCGTAACCTTTGAACTTTTCAAGGAAGAAATCTAATTGACCGCAGATCGATCCTAAGCACCCACGAGTTTGCTAGATAATGATTAAAATATAATATTATGATGACATATGGGTGCTTACTTGACATAGTTTACATTTCAATAACCTTGCATTGACAAGTGTAATAGTCGCATATTGTTTACAATATAGAAATCTCTTATAGTCATCCAAGGGCAATATCCTATGACAACGTTAGCAAACAATTGTACAAGGTATTGATTTTCTTACATTCTTACGACATGTACTGAGCAACTCTTTGCGATAGCAAATAATTTATTAATTCTCTTCTCGTCTTGATTGAAATCCTCTTGGTAGAATTTTTGTTCTTGATACTCCTTTCTACTTCCCAAGTAACTTGTATAATAAGTAAAGTCTTGTACGTAGTTCTTTAATATAAACGCCAAGTCAATAGTCCATACACTATTCACTGAACACTGTCTCGCTATTTCTTCTATATTGCAATTAAATCCTAAGCCTTGCAAGATCATTGCTACACACGCCAATCCACAATCCCAATTGGAAGCCTGCAAATTGTAAATACTTGCATAATTTGTACATTTCCCTTACCTGTTGAATGTGTGGTATAGGACAATCACTCACTTGGTCATAGTTTGAAAGTGCTTCATTGATCGAGATGGCTTCATCACCAAGTGAAATCATGGCTGCTGTATATATATTTATTTATAATATGTGTATGTATATATGTTTATCTATAAAAAAGAGAGAAAAAGAGAGAAAGAGAAAAAATGAATTTCCTTTTTCGTCTTTTGCTGAGAAAATGATGTTTCATCCCAATCTTCCGTCTTTCTTTTCTCTACTTTTTACTAGTGTTCTATCTCTTTTTCTTTATCTTTAAGGAAAGTAATCCCTTCATGATGCACCAAACAGCGACTAGACAATCACGTATACCCGAACAACAAGGCATTGGTCAAACACTACCTCCTGTTCCTGTTGGCATCGACATTTCAAATGCTCCCCCTTTACCTCCAGGTGCTATGCCTACTGGTACTAAAATTCAAGTGGGAAAGTACACAGTTATAATTCATAACTTTATTGCAGAAGGTATATATATATATATATATAATTGAACTAACTCCTTTCTAGGTGGTTTCGCACATGTTTATCTTGCTAGAATCGAAGGAAAAACGGGCTACGTCGTTTTGAAACGAGTGGTTGTTCCTGATCAAGAACGGCTTAAAATCGTTGAAAAAGAGATTGAGTTTATGGTAAAAAGTGCCTAATATTGTATAATACAATATTGATGTTTTTATTTCATAGCGACGACTAGGAGATCACAAAAATATTGTGAGATATTACGAATCAAGGATAGACGTCTTACCAGCAGGTGGTTATGAGGCTTTCATCTTGATGGAGTATTGCCCTGGTAAGCAGTATGTTAGATATGTTCAATATTTATTCTAAAAAAAGAGTATGAAAAGGTGGAGGAGTGATCGATTTGATGAATCGAAGATTACAACAACGTTTGACTGAACCAGAGATACTGAAAATATTCAGTGATGTCACTGAGGTAATCATCCTCAACTCTCTCTTTTTTCCTATAGCTTCTTTATTAATTTTCTTTATTTAAAGGCACTGGCTTATATGCATTACTGTAATCCACCTGTTTTACATCGTGATTTGAAAGTGGAAAATATCCTTATCCTTAATCAAGATCATTACAAGCTATGTGACTTTGGTTCAGCTGCATTATCAAAAGGGCAATACGTACCAAACACAATTAAAGATATTCAGCGACTTGAAGATGACATACAGCGTCATACTACCCTTCAATATCGTGCACCTGAAATGATTGACGTCTATCAAAAGAAACCTGTGAATGAAAAAGCAGATATTTGGGCAATGGGCGTCTTATTATACAAGCTTTGCTATTACACAACACCATTTGAAGAGGAAGGACAGCTGGCAATCTTAAATGCAAAGTATACCATACCAAACTTACCTGTGTTCTCCGAAGGATTGCGTCGATTGATCATGTCCATGCTTCAGGAAGATCAAAATAGGAGGCCAAATATCTATCAGGTCATGAAGACCGTCTGTCAATTGAGAGGAGTAGAGTGTCCTATTCGAGATGTAAGTTGAATAATTTACAAAAGAAAAGAAAAGAAAAGAAAAGCTAATCTATATTATAGATCTACTCATCAGATTCTTACGTCTCTCCTACTCCTTCTTCTCCTCCAACAGTACAAACTTACTATGAAAACCCTAACTTGTTTGAAAAAGTGTCTACGAACCATTATCAATCGGAATTACCTCATATTACACCTATGCGAAGAGGTAGGCCAACAAAATCCGTGGATTCTTATGATCCATTTGATCCTGCCCACGTCAACAAGACTAGTCCGTCAACAACACAGCCAGTATCACCCATTGCGTCCTTTCAAAATAATTTTGATACTGTCAATAGTTCTCAAGAGAAACAACAACAGCAAAAAGAAGAAAAAGTAGAAGAAGAAAAGAAAGAGGAAGTAAAGATAAACAAAAAAGTGTCTTCAAGTATTGAAGCACGATTCACAGCTTTAAAGAATGCAAGCAAAGGCAAGAAGCCTTTACCCCCACCTAAACCAGCTAAATTTAGATCCAATCCTGTCGCTGTAGATGACTTTGAACACAAATTTCCTTCTTTAGAAGAGTTAGACAAACAGTTACCTGCCATATAACATACACCAATAAAAATTGAAATCTCATCGGAATTTTTTTTTTTTGTTGTTTAAGATTGACACTTTTTCAATTTCTTTCTTTTCTTATCCCTAAAAAAATGTGTGGTATTACTGCGCTTATATTAGCAGATCCAAATGGTGTTGCATGCCCAGATTTGTTTGAAAGTTTAGGCTTGCTTCAACATCGTGGCCAAGTAAGAAGACTTAGTTCTTTAATATCTATTTATTGACAGATAATAGGATGCTGCAGGAATCGTCACTTGTGGAGCTAAAGGACGCTTATATCAATGTAAAGGAAATGGGATGGTGAGAGACGTGTTCAATGAAAGTCAACTATCCAACCTTGTAGGAAGCCTGGGTGTGGGCCATGGTACGCATTAAAAAAGACTGTAACTAGAACCCACACTTACTTTATCATAGTCCGTTACCCCACAGCAGGTACCAGTGCAATGTCTGAAGCACAACCTTTCTACGTTAATTCACCTTATGGAATCGTCTTTGCTCATGTATGCTTTTTTAAAAAACAAATGATTGTAATAACTGATCGATCGTATAGAACGGAAACTTGACGAATGCTAGAGAATTAAGAGAGTTTTTAGATAAAGTTGCTCACAGACACATCAACACTGATTCTGACTCTGAATTATTGTTGAACATTTTAGCTGATAACTTGCAAAAGACTGGCAAATTCAGGTAAAAATAGTCACATTATCTATCCTTTTGTCATCCATCTCATCTTTTTTT